TTTACTTTCTTCTCTTTCAAAAACCATAACCTTCGTCTTACTTGCGTTCACTTTCATACCCCTTTCTTTTAATGATCTGTTCATTAATGTAACCATCATTTGCAACTCGGCCGCCGACGACGCAAGAATAACTTGATCATCGGCGTACAAAAGGCATTTGACGTTTACTCACCCATTCTTAATCCGCATTCTTCAACTTTCAAATTTTGCAAACAACTGTCCATAAATAGGTTGAACAGCCACGGGGAAGCACACAGCCCTGTCTGACACCTTTATGGATGTCAAACCAGTCCGAGTAGACCCCGTTGATCCTAACACAAGCACTAGAGTCCCTATAAAGAGACTCCAATGCCTGTATCAAGCCAGCGCTCAACCCAAATGAGTTCAGTGTTTGCCATAGCACATCCCTATCCACTCTGTCATAGGCCTTTTCCAAGTCCATGAACGCACAAAAAACCTTTTGGTTTTTGGCCAAAAACTTTCTAAATCCCGCTTGCACATCCCAAATTTTTCCATCAGTTTCTTTCATGACCCTTTTAATCAGTACCTAAGCATACAGTTTTCCCACAATGCTAAGAAGGCTGATGCCACGGTAGTTTTTACAGTCCCGCTGCGACCCTTTTCCTTTATATACTGGGACTATCACGGCTTTGCACCAGTCTACCGGTACCCGCTTCAGTTCCCAGCATAAATTAAACAAGGTGTGCAGCAGGCCTGCCACAACTTCCTCTAGAGATGTATGTATGCATATATATTACTCTAAGATAGTAAATCTTATTTAAAATTAATTTAAAAATTATTTAGACATTGTAATTTGTCATCAAAGCAGTAAATTGAGATCATTATGATCTCAATTTCCTGATTTATATTTGGACACTACAGCTTGTAATTGTAAATGTTTGCATGGCACGAGCCTAAATATGGCGATTAATAATGTAATTTCACTACTGTAACATCATGTATATAGCGCATATTGCGCAAATAAAGAATTGAATTTAATTGAAAAAAATATTTTAACGACATTCCGATCTTGACTACAAAGTCACCGAATTCCTCCCCTACTATCGCCGAGTCATTACTCAAACAAAATATAAATGTTAGTAAAAAAGAATTTGCATTTCATAAAATATGATCAGGAGATATTACAAAATATTTCAAAAATGGACCTATGGAGTTGTATATAATATGTATGGGTATGTTTCCGCTAATGTTATTGCGTCTATTATAGATGCAGTCGCACCCCAACTTGCTCTTATTTCAATACTAATATCGAATCTGGCATGTTTCCTGATTTAATGAAACATAGTAAAGTTACACCTTTATTTAAATCTGGTAGTACATTACACCCCACTTATTTTAGACCTGTTACTGTACGCTCAGTAAAATTTATGAAAATTATTCTTGATAAAATGTCAAGTTTTTTTTAATGTCAATAAATTACTACATAAAAATCAGTCTGTTTTTACAGGGGGTTGCCCGACAACTGACGCCGGTGTTGAGCTGATTAAACATATTTTCTGTGGATGGGAGAATTCAGAGGATGTTTTGGGTATAATTTGTGATCTTTCCAAGGCTTTCGACTGCGTTCACCATGAAACATTAAGCAGGAACCTACATTATTATGTTATAGAAAACAGTGCACTCAAATTTGTGTTAAAATCCATGACACGCGCCACGCGCCCTTCGTACAGTGTCCTACATGCTTTATATTATAAAGCATGTAGGAGGTAGGAGGTGATATGGAAATGAGATCTAGCGAACTTAAATCTTTGTTTAAATTCGAAACTGTCAGTAAGCGTTACTAATTTGAAACGTAATTCAATTACATAGCACCGTCGAACTTTAGCTGATCCTAAATCTATACTCAATGCTCGTTATCCTAATTGCTCTTAATACCAATGTTCGATTATGAACGGTTTTAATAGTGAAGTGTTCTATGTTCACTAACTTTAATAATCGAATTAATGATATAATTACATTAAAGATATTAAAAATCTAGCTAAGTTAGCGGCCAGCCGGAGCAAAGTCTACTTAACCTGAGAATGCTTCACGTAGAGGCGAAAAAGTTTTCTTTGTGTTTTCTGATGTGTATTTCCTCATGTAGTGGTATTACTAGTACGGTGCTGTTATTAGTAGATATTATAGTATATTATCTATGGTTTAGTGACTGGCTGGGGTGTTAAGCCGCGCTTGCGGCTACCCGCGCAGAGTGCGTGGAGAGGATGCGGCGCTCCTCATCATTAAACCGGTGCGGCCCGCCGCATTCCCAAGACAACCGGAGCGGTCGATGGCTGGCCGCAAATCAGTTTGTCAATATCATGCGGTTTCATACAAAAATCGAGGTTTCATGTAATATACGTGGTAAATATTATACGTGGTAGAGCCATGCTGCAGTTATATTGGAAGTATAGTTGTAGCACGAATGGGTCGGCTCGACCGGGGAAGGACCACGCTCTCACAGAATATCAGCGTGAAATAGGAGCTTAATGCTGCTGTGTTTCGTATGTTGAGTGTAGAGAACCGAAGACCCTTTTACTGGAAACGAGGCATTCCATCTTAGTGCTCAGGGGTGACAACGCATCTGCATTTTGATTCGTAATCGAGGATAGATGCAGATGTCTATGGGCCACCACTTACCATCACGTGGACTGTGTGCCCGTTTGTCACCCTATCCTATAAAAAAAGTGCGGCCTGCCGCAACGGCATGCCGCATCACGACCAGTCTCTAGTATGTTCTTACTTTAAAAGTCAAAAACAAATTAACATTTTTAAGGGCGTTTCTATCTGTGTTTTTTTTCCAGGCTTTAATTAAATAGCCGGTTTCGTGAAAACTATCAAAACAAGTACTTTCCGTCATTTTTATTTGAATCGTCGTGTCGTAACCATATATGAATTGATGTACATGTACGATTACGACAGAACACCTTCCAAGTTAGAATATTATGGCAACCTTACTTTTGTTTGGTAGTGTTTTGAGTTAGGTACTACCTTCGTTTCAAAATAGTTTCGTTCGTGTATCTGATGACGTAAGGTTTGATGCATCAGGATCTGGGTCTAACAGTAGGCGCCCGATTTCAAAACAAAACTTTTTATTGTATATCGTGGACTTTATAGGGTTTTTTCTTTTTGATCAATGCTAGGTTAATAAGTACGGGTCGTGAAGCTAAAAAGCATTACCAAATGTAATGTAATTGTTATATAACTCTATATACTTTTAGACATTAGAAAGATGTAAATTTACTACGTAATTGCAATATATCTGAATAGACATTAACTATCATAAATTTTAAATTATATTATTATGATAAAAGTAGCTTTAAATTATTTTAATCGAATAGTCTTGCATCACATTATCTAAATCCAAATGACATGTGTAATAATTTTGTAAATGTTAAAAACAGACTAAAACCCTAATATACCTAGCTCATGCGCCATATGTCGTATCTTAATTAAAAAGAGTGTTTTAACACGTGCCTTTTTTATTTTATATCCAAATGTTGAAGAAAATTGTTTTCTGTTTGTTACAACTTATACCTTGTTACGACTTATAGGGTTATGTTAGAAAAAATTTATATTATACTAGCTTGCCAGACAGACGTTGTTCTGCCCTTTTCGACGACCCTTTGTCACGTCGTATTAAAAATCCTTAAATTAGAAAAAAAAAAATTGTGGCTCACTCATGGGCAAAAAAAACTATCCTATCCCTCAAGTTGGACTAAGCTGCACACGGTGTGCAAATTTGATTAAAATCGGTTAAGTAGTTTAGGAGTCCATCGCGGACAAACAACGTGACACGTAATTTATATATATTAAGATTTACACAACACGACGTTTTGCTCTACAAAAAAGTAGTTTAAGTGCGTATTATAGGTATAACATGCTGCATAATTTGTTAGTGACCAGTCGACCCAAAAGTATGTGTGACAGCAAAAACTCTGAGTCCACACAACGCTTTAAGAGTTCAGTGGCATCCTCGCTTGATTCGTGTGCATCGCGACCAACCGGACGCAAGCGGCGGTGTCCTGCATACCCGAAGCACTATGACTAGTCTGTCCATAAATAAATAATATGTTACAACATAAAAATGTTACTGAATTCAATTTTAGTTTGCATGTAAAAAGCTTAGATTGATTTGTCGTTATTATCCTTTTTTTACAGTGATTGTTAAATTACATTCCAATATTTCATTATGAAGTAGGCTGTCAGTTGCCAGGTATCAGCGGTATGTGTGTTTGTGTATCGTAGTGTCGATAGTTTGGTACAAAGGTACACCAACAATTCCTTTGTTAAAGACTATAAATCACCACACAGAGCCGATAGAGCAGAAAATGCCGCCCCTTATTATCGCTAGTTACTTTATTTAATATACTAAGTTAACTTATTTAATATAATAAGTTAACTTGAAAATGAATTAAACAACATAATGTAAGTATTTTATACGTGCGTGCGAGCTTGCGTGCGTGCTTGAGTGCGGGTATGTTAGTGGGTACGTGCGTGCGTGCGTGTGTGTACGCCAAAGCTACTACCGTCTTCATTATATTTTAATAGAAAGTATATTCAGATTTTTTATAGTAATATTTTAAATGTTGAGGTGGGGAGTTGACTTTTCTTTCACAAAACGGCTTCTTATAAAATCTAACGGCCTGGGCTGTGGCACTCCTGACCTAGAGTGCCAAAGGAGAGCATATTAGGCCTTCCTCTTGGTACATAATTGAGGCCTAGGTTAAAAACAGGTTGTTCGTCGCCCTACATGTAAGGCTTCGAAGTAGCGCGTACTGTGACTGAAAAAGCGTGGAGGATTCCCTCTAGTATACGATCCAAAATTATTAATCAAAATGCTAAAGCGTGCTTAGTGCTACCATCGACACAGAGCTTACCTTAATCAGTCCCTTCTGATTAAAAGCTGATCAAAACGTTTGGTGTCCTGATACACTGTTGGAAGACACAAAAATGTGCTCATTACAGATTTGGGAATTTACTCATTACAGGATTGAAGCAAAATGACAAAATTCTTCCTCACAGCTTTAAAGAAGCCTCGCAACTTGTTGGAAAAGTTCTACGTGAGTACGTAGGATAAAATTTATCTTGCTCGTCGTGATGTATGGTAAAGCCTCTTAGTGGTGCACTTTTTATAAATGTTGTGTTAGCAAGACTGCTCCTGGTCACCGGGTACGAATAACTAAAACCAGGTCGAAAACAATGTTGCGGATTTCATAAGAGCTGTATTTCGACCACTTCCGACCGTGGAATCCATATGAATGGGTCTACCATTCATTCTTGGTCATAGAGATTAGAGGGCTGCATTGGCTTTTATGAAATTGTATTTAATCAATCGCTTAGACTTCTACAAAGATATACACAAGTTTTATTAATGTGTAGCAGAATTTATGGCCACACTAGGTACCTACTTACATTAGCGCCGTAGGTGTGGTGTGGCTATACGGGTTGTTTGTGTCCCACGCGGTGCAACGCGCGGCCCTGACGCCCGCGACCGATGCGCCGATGTAAACACCGCACAAGGTCGACTGCCTCGCTCTACTCGCATCCTAGTTTGGTCTATCTCGATCGCACGATCACGCTGCACCATCACTGAATTTTGAAAAAAAATATATAATTTAAGCTAAGGTCTGTATCCAAAATACGAGTCAGATCATGCCCATTATTAGAGTATAGAAATAAAAATAAAATCGTTTTTTTTATTTGCCGACGAAAGAATTTTGTTTTGTCAAACGTTTGTTTTTTAAAGAAACAAAAGTATTTTTTAAAGAAAAGAAAGTAATCTCTATATATAAAATGAATTGCGGTCCGTTAGTCTCCCTAAAACTCGAAAATGGCTCGAACAATTTTGATAATTTTATTTGTTTTTATTTAAATAGACGCCTGGATGGCTTAAAATCACAATTGGACCCAGTAATAGTAGGGGAGCCCAAGAGGGGATTTTTCGGATTTACTCAAGGGCGTCAGATTAAGGTAAGGTGGGTTAATTATGAGCTAAAAAGAGTGCATTTAGAAAATCTGACAATTTGAGCGTAACGAAAGGGAGTGGGGGAGGGTTACAAAGTAGTAAATTTTTTTTGAAGAAAATAATGACAAAAGAAGATAATCTGCCGATTTCCACAAGCCGAAATACTAAAAATCGTCTATGAAGATAAGAGCGTACTGCTGGAGTAAAGCATGTATACCGCATTCCGCGCCGTTTTCTCCCTTTTACTTATTCCCTACCTCTGACTCTCTCGTGCCATACCGACCCATTCACAGTAACATTTTATGGTTATTGCGAAAAAAATTCATTAAAAATTATTTTTAAAAGTCAGATAATTTATATCCCTAAAAATAATCGTCAGATTTTAAGCTACCATAACCGGGATCTGAAGCTGAATCTTCTGTATAAAACCTTCCGTATAAATAATCTGAGACGTTCGAGGATTTTCAATTTGGTAATTTTGTTTCACATTTTCAAAAATTCTCTACGAGCTTTGTGTCTTTTGAAAAGGAGCCTTTTTAGGGTTCACTTAACATCCCCTTTGAATATTGAACATATTTAGTAGTTTGTATTAGTTTTTACATGTCTGAAAATCTGTAGACGCTTCTCCTGGAAGAGGAAACATTATATAATTTTTTTCTTCCTATCAACTAATCTACAACATTTAATAGGTCCCCACGACGCTCGGGTAAATCCTCATTTAGCATCATGGGCTTTCCTACTATACGTAACGAATTAATGTCAAATAGTCCAAGTATATATTATATCATTAGTATTTATTTATTGAGTCGTATGCATATCATATGCACCACGAGAAAACGTTTTATGACCCATAACGTAGCTCTTTGTTCACTTGATATTTGTAAAATAATTATGAATACAACGAAATTTATGTCATTAGAACATGTTTATCGTTTCATTTTATATTGTCATGCTTAGTTTATAGTACATCATACTTTTGTCATACTTACTAATGTATGTCATACATACTAATGTCATACTTTTCATATTATCGAAAAATATTATATGGTTATCGCTTAAAAAATGAGAACTCGAACGTCTAAGTTTTTTACCGCCGGTTAAATTATAATTTCTTTATCTTTATCAATATGAATTATTTAAAAAAAAACATTCGATATTATAGAGAGACATAAATAAAAATCAATTTTTTTTCGTTACGAATCTATAATTATTGTTGTGTGGTACCGGTAAGCGTCTTACGGTTGTCGATATTACATGAGCAGTAAACGCTAAAGCGACACATCTTCAACTTCCCTCGATGCTAACGCCGTTTTCCGTTGTTTTGAAGCGTAGGTCGCTTTAATAAAACATCAACAGTCCTGGTTTATATCGATTTAAAATCATATCGCTGTGTCCTTAACGTTCAGCTAGTATTTTTGTAGTGTATAATTTCCAAACTTTGTAATGAATCTTACGTTTAATTCTAATTCTGGACACTAAAATCGGATGATTCGTAGTGATGCAACAGACCTCCGCTTCGACATTCGCACCTGCGGAAGTTCTGTACGCTTTTTGACATCCGTTCTGCTTTTGTTTGTGCAAATTTTATTACTGAAATTTTATTGGAACTTTGAAGACGACCTTTCCCCAAAGGCACCGACCTCAAATTAAGTATAAAGTTCAACCTACGTCATCATCAATGGTGAATTCATCATTACAAATGATAGAATCCACGTTGCACCAGTAACAAGAGTGATAATCTCTTTTATGGACGTAATCTACCTTCAGGAGTTTGTGGTGGAAATGAAATACACACAAATATGGTCAACTTTTGCCGTTTGTTCGCCAATATTTTACAGTTCCTTCGAGCAATGTCACCAGTGATCAATTATTTAGCGAAGTTATTCTTGTACATCAAGAACTCTGAAACAGATTTCTAGGTCATAAAATACAACACATCGGTACTCAACTATAAATGTTAATTTATAAAAAAAATATTTGTCATAAATGGTACTTTTTACATGGTATTTACACTTCCACTTCTGCATCCGTTACCGTTTCTATTTCTGCTAAAATTTAGTTTTGACTTCTGTTTCTGTTTCTGCTTCCGTTATGAGTTATGACACTTCCGTTGCATCAGTAATGTTTCGTTACTTTCATACAATTTTTCTTCTTCTTTTCATCAGTTCGTTAAGTCCACCGGTCATGGGCCTCATCTGTTGTATGGTGGACTTTTCGATTAGCAGTTTAATTTGGAAGTAACAAATTCATCATCAGTGTCATGAATAAAACTTTAACGAAGTAACATAAATTTAAATTTCTTAGCTTACGTTTCATTTGTTAATAATATTGTTTACTTTCGATTCCAATATGCAACTTATACTAGATATAAAGGATACTAGTAATATTTGTATTAAGTATAATGAGTTTAAATGTTGCCTGCCTATTCTAGTTGTTTTGTAAGGTGCAATATTTTCATGCGACTTTAGAAAGCCGGGATAAAATACTTGGCGGCATTTTTCCAACAACTTGTTGCCTGAATCGCCTCAGGATAAAACGCACTGATACTTCGTGCGTGTGTTCCCACGCCCGATTTGTCCGTCTCTCTCTGACACGTTCCGTTCTTACATCTTTCTTTGTAAACATTACGCGTATCCGTATATTCACTTCGCAGTCAGAAGAAAAGTTCTTTCCGTTGAACTACAATTAAAATGTATGATGATTGTGATTCTTAAGGCCTAATAACGCGCACATTTAATCATAAGTAGTACTAGTTGTGCCTAATTAATAATGCAATCAAAATTTGGTTAGATAAACAGTTATAGAAGTTAGTTTTCAATATTGCGTATTATTTTTATGGGCGATATTTCCCATAATATGTATTGTTAGTTGTTATGTGAAGTCCGGAAGGAGCAATACTTTTGCGGTGAGTTTGGTTGTGGAGAATGCTGTAGGACCAGTCAAACGCAGTATGTATACAGTATTCGCGCATTTGTGTTATAATTTTATAAATTTTATTGTTATTACTCATAATTTTACGAGTCTCCACTTTGTTACTGGAGTCGCATTATTATTAACTTAAGGTACTGTTTTAATACGTTGTCATTTATTATTGATGTTGTGTTTCGAATGTCTATAGTTTTCAAAACGTGTGATGAGTGTCGTGTCAGTAAAATCATGCCGTGTTTCAAATATTGCAGCAGTGTAATGTGTTGTAATGGCATGCGTATGCTTTTCCATCTAGTTCACACGACAATGACGTGGAGCATACAAGCCCGCTATGTTGGCTTCCTTTCATCGAAGACCTGGACCGTTACTGATTGGATGCCTTTGTCGATAGCTGGGCTAAAGTGCCGTACTTAAATTAATATGTGTCCAGCGTAATCATTAGCATAACATTAGTATGTATGTACATACATGTGTGCGTATTTGTTTGCTGCGTACTGGCGACGAAAACTATTTGAGTAACCGTACTCAAGCTTGCTGAAATTACCGGTGTCAATACAAAATTTTTATCAGTGTGACGAAGTAGAACGACGGTTTTCAGACGTTAACCACATTATTCTCTCTATGTTTATATTAGGGTTTGCCCGATATTGAAGTTATAATTTAAAAATCTAATACTATTACTTTTTAAATAGAAACTTTATGAAAAGTTTTATATTGTTTAAGTTGAAACGAATGTTTGTATAAATTAACTAAATGATGTGTGTATTTTTTCTATTAAATGTTTAAAGAAAATGCATTTCATGACCCATTGTGAAAAATATCGATAGTAAGTACTGTTTAACGATGACGCGTTGGCGAAAGCTGTCGCACACGGGGACACCAGGTCCATTGTCCGTGCTGAGTCACTGGCGGCGCTCGCGCAGCTATTTCTGCTGCCGGGCGTAGGCGTGCCATAGTTTCGCTCTCTCAGACCGATCAGAGACACTAATTCTTAGCCACGTTTAAATGCGGAGTGATTCGCAAAATATTCATTGTATTTATGAAATATTAATGGGTATATACAATTTTAATTATCGTCCTCTTCGTTAATATTTGAATGGAAACTTCAAATAGGTAAAACTAGTATTGTAGGGAATTTGAAAAGGAAATCGTTTCAGTTTTCTGTCAAATAATATAGTAATATATTTCTGTCAAATAATATAGTAATATATTTCTGTCAAATAATACCTGGGCTAAACATCTTAGAGCTAGCATAATACACGTTTTGCGAAGTTTTCAATTTTTCTTTTTAATAAAGATGTATGACATCACTGTTTAATAATAGATTCGTATCATGCGGTACCTAACCAGTAACTTTAAAGAAATTATAACTGAACCAACGTGCTTTTTTCAGTGTTTGTCAAATACCTACTATTATCTAGATATTAAATTAGAATTGGTATGTTACATCTAAATTGTACTAGGATAATCAGTTTCAATTTCTAATACCACCCCTTGCCCGCACACTGGTCCTCTAATTGATTGCTGTGTGCTAATTGAGGTGCGTTTGCTACTGATATTTTACACAGGATCTTAGATTTAACTACACCAGTTAGATAACTGGTGTAGTTAAATCGCCGATTGCACTTACGTCGGCCGTTGTGCTCACTGTGTCACTCTCAATTTTAATGGTCACTGCACTTCTTGTTTGCTTATACTTATTGCCTTTTAGTGCTATCATTCTGCGAATACCCTAACTAATATTAAATTTTACACAGAGTAGCGTCTAGTAAGTAGCAAGTTAATTAGTCCTAGTACAATAGTTAGCTAGAAGTATGTGCGTTTTTACTAACTACTTACTGTAAGATGAATAGTAATTTTATCGCCAAAAACTTAACGATTTTAAAATATCCCTTATCAAATAAGTAAAATCTTTGTCGCGCAATACTAAAAATTATATAGATTTATGTTACAGGGATGCTTTAACCATTTTCTAGGGTTATAATTTATTACATTTATTTATTATTGCAATCCTCGGTGTTTATTGTTTTCCTTCTGTACTAAAAAAAAGCTCTTCAAAAGCGTTATGTAAGTTTTATTTCCTTCTTAGCTTTGAAATTCTGGCTGAGACATTTCGAAGTATGCCAATATAATGCACAGCGGGCGGATGACCGAATGTATACTGAAAGAAAAAATATTTTATTTTTATTTAAGTGTATAGCATATTAAAATTGAACCGAATGATATTAAAATTTAAAATAATATTTTCTCGATACTTACTTAAATTATAAACTTTAAAATTAAAACAATGTGCAATGTTTTACCCGGCTTTTTGGTAATTTTATAAGGATAATTTAATAAAACAGTTTGTAAAACGGCCTATAATTTAGTGAAATGTTAAAATGCCTTCAGTTAAATATTTTTAATGTAATAATTTCAAAAATAAATAAATTGTACGTAGGTACTATCTTCCTCTTCATTTTTCTCCATCGTTAACTATCGTCTCCGTTTTCACCAATCGTCACGTTTGGTAGGAGGATTCAGATCCAGCCGTCTCTCACCCCTAAAGTTACTTTCTGCCGATGACTCCAGGTATCCACGGACTACAGTAGCCACTTACCACCAGGTGGACTATAACTTCGTTTGTAACTTTATTTTCTTAAAAAAATCATTTTAATTACAAACATTGCAATCTTTATGTTTTACGGCATTATACGTTTTCTCCTTCGACATATTATCCGTTCACTTAATCGCCGTAGACAATGGTACTGTTGGCACCAACATCAATGTACTTTTGATTTCGTACGGATTATGTGCACCGACCTTCCGCGTACAATGACGCCCGTTAGAGGGGTCAAATCGTTTCACATCTTATTCGAGAGTGAACCAGTTCACTCGAGCGCCAGAAAACAACAAACTAGTTTAACAAAGCCGTGCAAAAAGTTGCGGTCACCAACATCAATAAAAATCTAGACTCGAAATATTGAAAAGCTGTGTCAATATTTATTAAAGTAAAGTAAGGTAAAAGTAAAGTTACAGCCTATATACGTCCCACTGCTGGGCACAGGCCTCCCCTCATTTCTGAGAGGGTTTTAGGGCAAGGAAGTGGCCGCCGCGCTGCCCCAATGCGTGTTGGCGAACTTCACATGTCTTCGATTTTTTTTTCGTATTCCTCAGAAATGCAGGTTTCCTCACGATGTTTTCCTTCACCGCTGAGCACGTGGTAAATCAGCACTTTAAAATTGCAATTAACGATTTCATTGGTGCCGGCGGGGATCGAACCCGGGTTACTCGCGTTCTTTTTTTATATATACAGCGGGCGTTAACCATCTGAGCTACCACGGCTCTATTTAATATTTATTAAAATATGGATGAAATACAGCGAGTTTCAAAAATTTTACTATAAAAATACAACCGAATACAGTTGCTACTCTTTATTCTGTGATGTTAGTGCTATTACTGTTGTTTCAAAATAAATTAAGTTGTTTTGCCTTATTGATGAACCGTCGTAGTTGGTGAGGAGCGCTTTTGGGCTCAATGGTTGACCGTGAACTTTAAATTTACGTGAGTGATCTGATCTAGATCTTACTAGACATCATTGAACTCTGTCAGCAGTGAGGGAAAACAACGTGAGAAACAAACGTCGTTTGAGAAATTAGAAATGTTTCAAGTCTTTTTCATCACTATAAAACCCTCAAAGGCAATTAGGCCTGTGCCCAGTAGTGGAAGATATGTAGGACATTACATTTTACTTTTTGCGTGGGTGCAAAATAGGGTTGCATCCGTATTATAATAAATAGTATCGTACTATATTTCAGTCAATTATACTGTATATTATAGAAAAATAATATAGTACAAAAAATACTATATTTTTATTCCTAATTCAACTGTCGCGCATTTTTATATTGACTGTGATTAGAAGTCTCGAATAAGTAAGTTTCACGGAATCTTTTTTATCGGCATGGTCGAAAAGAATTGAAAGAAGAAAGAAATGGAGCATATATAAATTTTATTAAAAACTAATTGTTAATTTATTTCATTATGAATCTAAATTGCTCAGACTCCTATAATTATTTTTAAGATTAGATAATGGACGACCAAAGCAAAGAGCAATAATAAATATACATATAAGGAAAAATACGTAAAGATTAAGAGAACAAATGTGTACTGTTTTTTATTTTCTCAAAAGTCCTATATTTTTGCATCTTTTTTGAGAAAATGTGGGTAGGTACTTTATTTTTGCGATTACTTCTGACCGGTTTCGACGCACGCGTGGTTGTTGACACGTTGGCTTCATGGTTCCGTTAGATTAGAGTCTTTTGATTATAGCCACTTAGCTCGACTGGCTTACGCACGTTACGTTTGTTTTGCTTTATTTCGTGAATCGTGAATCGTTAAGCGTTTATTTAAAAAAGGTAGCTTGATGAAGTTTGCCACTCAGTTCATTAGGTTAAGCTATTAATAATACATGGAATTCGGGTTTTTTGTAATATGTTGATGGATGCGTTATGTTAATGTTGCGGGCGGTATTATATTCCTGGTGAGTACGGGCGGGATGGGTGCGCGTCTCGCTGCGGACGGCTATCGGTATCGGCTATAGCCGCTAGAGCGGCATGGCAGCAACGTGCCGAGGAGAGGGCGAACGCGGTCGATGAGCCCGGCGCTCGGCCTAGAGGGCAGCACATAGCACAGGGGTGGGGGGTGGGGAGTAGCCCCGCGGCCCGCGCTCTTTCCACCTCTCCGTCTTCTTGCGCATTCTGTACAGCCGCGCCGCGCGCTCACTAATGCGTCATACTGCAAACTGACTTGACGCGTACTCCGTCGTTCCGACCCGAGACTTCGCGCGCGGCATGTGAACTTTTGTGATGACTTAATATATATAGTAAAGACGCGCCGACGTGACCGCGACCATGCACCACGTTCCCGTTCGAACTATATCAACCTGGACAGTGTCTTTGGTTCCTGTCAGACGACGGACATTAGAGTGGCGGTACACGAGGTGGACGCACGTGCTTGCTGCCCGTTCCCGAAACTGTAAGTTTGAGATAGATTATTTTAACCTGTGACGTCGGGCAATGGGTGTATGGCTGGTATGGGGCATGTTATTTTAGCATCGCGGTGAGCCGCAGCGCCGGCCGCCCGGAATGCGGCCTCCGCCCCGCCGCGCGCTGCCGGCGCCGAGCGCGCCGCGCGTAGCGTAATAAATAAAGGCGGGGCACCGCTGCGTGCGCGCGCACCCTCCCGCACCCTTCCGCGCCATCCGTGCCATCGGGTCATTGACTCGCGCCCGAGCGCCATCGCCTCCGACGCAGCCGAAGACAACAATCTTCGGAAGTAGCACCGCGCTCTTGGCCCCGACGCGGACCTGGCGCTCGCCGATATCACCAATGTCAATGCCGATGGTCACGCACTATTGCCAGAAGGGTCCCCGGACGCGTCGTGTATCTGTGACGCGGGCTTCACTTATTAGTTACTTGTCACGCTACTGAGGCTAATGACCCCGACTTTTGCACCTGGTCATGCGATGTCGGTTTCACCCCTCGTCAATACTGATATCACATACGCCTCTAACTTGTTCTTTTATTTTCGCAAGACCGGTTACAAAAATAGCCGAGTTACCGTTTATATCCCACTGGCGAAACGGTGCCCATGCCTAACCCGTCACTACGTACTTTATTACTTTTAAAATACACATCTTCCGTGTCTACGTTCTTATTTTATCATTTTATGATTACTCTAAAGCGTAAAGCGTCAGCAAAATAAGATACCTAGTTGTAAATATTTTTATGGTAACCTAGTTTTGATTTAAAAAAGGAGCCTAATTATAGTACAAGCTTTGTATACATATTTTCTTGTTTTTTAATTTAACCGCAGTAGCCATTGACATTATGAGAAATAAACTTTAAAATGCGAGTTGTTAAACATTGTCGCTGGTAAATTATATGGTAATAACGTATACGTTTTGTGACATCAATCCAGCACAAGTACGTTATATTTTATTGTACAGCGTTGCTCGTTTCGTGAAATGCTAAAAATAAAGCGTGAACTTCCCGGTTGAATGGCGTCGTTGGCGCGGCGAGAGCGGGGAGTGGCCGGCAGCCAATGCCCTCACCGGGTTTGTTTACAACTCGGCCCTGGGAGTGGCCCACATGCATAACTGCACCCTGCGTACAGCTCTGTAGAGTGTAGAATCGTATCGAGAGGCAGACTGCGTTCGCGCCATCTGCGCGCTTTTCTAAAATAAACTGCCGCAGACAGATAGCACTATGGTAGCGGTGGTACAAAAACGCGGCAACACAACCGCCAGGTGCACCGTTACCCTTATCCGCGATGAAGGTGCACCCAGTGCTAGGTCACTTATTACGGGCGTAGACCCCTATGGCAGTGCCAATGACCAGCGTACCCGTCTGAGCCTCCTAGCGGTCTTGATTTTTAAGCCCGATATAATATTAAAGACGAAAGAATGTTATGATGACATCATTAATGATATTATAATATTATATAATGAAATTATAATTATGAATATGATATGATATAATAAATATTACCTTTTCCTTAAAGCGTATTTCGTCTATTTTTCAAGTGATAAACACAATATACAATAAAGAGCATCGCACATCACCTCAAAATCGAAATCACGCATACTTAATTAATGAAAGTTGTTTCAGTCTACCTGAACGATCACGTTTGCTCGGCGTTAGAAAGAAATAGTTTTCTCAGAGATGACACCTACCTAAACGAAATGTAAAGCATTAACTAAGTTAAAAATTTCGTCCAATTCGTTAGAACCGTTATCGCGAAAAATTAACATATTTATATGTTTTTTACCCGACTGCCAAGGAAGGGTTATGTTTTTCTTCTTTTTTAATTTTTACTTTTTAAAAAAGTATTGCAGTTTTCATTTCATATCGATAATGCAACGATTTTTTGTAAAAACACTGTAATGATAGATACATTTTTCAACTGTAACCTCTCGGTAGAAAACGAATTCTGCCAGAAATGAGACCTAGTTACGTCAAATTTTTCTATATTGTAAATTTTATCGAAATTTTTAGAGCCGTTTTGGAGAACGCGAATTACGAACACATATATAAATTTGCTGGATTGGATCTGACGCGGGTGCTACACAGCCACCATCGCAACACAGTTGTTGCGATGGTGTCCCACAGCTGGAGACGGGCCTCCTTTAAATTCCAATACGATTTTTGGAACAATTACTCCTTTGTGCCGTTTCAATGCGTGTGTGTGTCACAGACTTAATATGTCCTCGAAATATTTTATTGGTAAATCAGCACTTAAATTAGCAATAAACTATCATTTATATATATATATATATATATATATATATATATATATATATATATATATATATATATATATATATTAAATGATGCCCCCGGCGTCACCAACATAATTATGTTGGTGACGCCGGGGGATCGACACTGGGTTACTTGTGGAATGAAATTTATGGCGAGCGTTAAGCTCTATTTATTTTACTTATCGACCCGAAAGTGAGATAAAAAAAATTTATTCGAAAAAAATTATCTGTAGTCTTTCGAAATACCTATAACTATTTTTATCATCGTACTGAGGAAGTTTTATTACTTATAGAGTCGTGACTTCGGTGGGTCAGTCTTAAGGTTATTCGGAACTGGTGTCGACTTTTCATTGGTACTTCCGAAGGCTTCAACAAGTTAAGCGGGATGAAAATAATGCGCGCGCATTCTTGAGGGACCTCTTTTTGGACGTAAAACGTTACTTCCGTACTGATGAAATATTTCAGTCGGTCTCCGCAACCTTAGCCTGAGGTTGAGGCCTTTGAGGTTTCGACCCACTGTCCGTCGTGTCGGCTTTACTCTATAGTCACACCGAACGCATGTTCTTTTACATTAAGCTCCTGAATATAAAATGTTATCAAAATATCGTCCAAGTAAAAATATTTCATTTATCGAATGGAAGATTAGTTTTTACAATGACTCCGTGCATATATTGCTCTTTACTCGGATGTAGGCTCGATGCGAAATAGAGTGCAACGGAACAACTGATGCGGCGTCTTCCGCCACACGCAATGTCCTCCAATATGTGTAAAGAAATCTCATCTCTGTCGGGTTCATTATTGGAAATTTCAATGTAGAGAGAAAGAGAGATAGAGAGAGAGAGATAGAGATAGAAAGATAGAAAGAGAGAGTAGGAATCACGGAGTTTTACTGTTTTTGTTACTGCTTTAACTCGAAAGATAATTGTTTTTCGCTTTTCATTTAATCTATAATTATATCTTTGCGCTGTATAAAGCAAATGTATAAAGAAAGAAATGTTAAGGTTTGTAATCTAAAACAAACTTCAGCATCAAAATATTCGTATTATAATTTTTTTTGATAATTAATAAAAAACTTTGCAAAATAAGTATTGAAATAAAATTATTGTTTGATTTACGAAACTGTTTAAGTCCGCGAAACAAGGTAATTTCTACATGAATAAAATTACAAACTTTATTCTTGGTAACTATTCAAACAACAACAACTTTACGATGGATACTATTAAATATTAAGATTGTGGAGGTTTATACGTACTTTATATATATATATATTTAAATCAATAGCTGTCCGTTAGTCTCCCTAAAACTAGAAATCGGCTCTAGCGATTTTAATCAATTATTTTGTGTGTATTTTTGAACCATCTAGGAACTTGGAGCTTTTAAAAACTAATTTGGGCCCGATAGGTGGCGCTGTTGTCGAGGTCCAGAAATAACCTGTGCGAAGCCGGCGCGGATCGCTATTGTTATATTAATAAATTACCTGTTACCCGCGACTTTGACCGCATCAAATTTATAACGGTTGGTTTTTATGAATTTTGATTTTTTTGCGCGGTACCCTCATTGTTTTTCTAAAATAAAAGTAGCCTAAGTTACTCCTTGTAATACCGGCTATCTGCCAGTAGAAGTTCCGTCAAAACTGGTCCAACAAAAGACATTTAAGTAGTTAGTACAGTAGTAGTAGTAGTAGACAGACAGGATGACATACAGAAAGATAAAAATTTATAAAATTATATTGTTTTAAGTATCGTTTATACTTTCAGATGCATTTAGTTAAAATATGTTATTTTGTCATTACGAACAGACCCTCTAGTTTTATTTATTTGTATAGACTACATTTGCCGTGAATAGTTGTTATAGCCAATAGTCTGATACCGGTTAATCTCCATTCCTATGGCGAATAGTCGAAAAACTCGCCATTATTATTCGACATAAAAAAGGAATATAAAAATAATAATATATTTGTTATCAAATAATAATATCACGCTTGTAATCGTTGATTTTTTACTGTAATTTAAAAAAATCTAAATGAGAAAAAAAAACAATGAACTTCTCTGAATTGAAATTCGAGAAGTCTCGTTAAGGGCATCTCTCAAACAAAACTGAATTAAATTGAAATTATTTTGAAATTATTTATGTTATTATGTATGGTTTTCATAATATTTCCGATAATATGTAAAAATAGCTGTGCCTCTTTAGAAAAAGTGTTTTCGTTGTAATAGCAGTTCGAGTCGTTTTTATGCGGTTGTGAAACCAGTGACACGAGGCGAAGACGCTTGTAAATTGTTAAATCATATCTACTCCACCAACCAGATAACAATGTAGCGTTTAAATTTCACTTTCAGAACCACTAGATTTAACCATTCATTGTTTTTAGATAATCGTGTACAACACTTTTGTCCGGTGACGTAAAATTAGACTTGCGATTAGCGAGCGAATTTTACGAGAATTTACGTATAAAAACGGGCACTCTTCCTATCGACCGGATGTCGTGTTGACACACCTTTAGAAGAGGATAGGAGTAGAGTACGAGACTTTACACACTTACGGATGTACTTATGCCTGTACGTAATGCCAGCCATTTATCATGCAACTTGCGATGGAAGACACTAAGTCTTTGTAACCAAACATTTCTCCTACTGTGGATTTATTGTAAACTTAGCAAAGATGCTCAAGCTCTGCTTTCATTACATATAAGTGTCCGTACGAAATCACGTTACGTGACTTGAAATTATATTACATACTTGTGAATTTAATTAACTATGCTGCCAGTGAAGTGGTTGCTCAGGATGATCGTTCTGGCTTTTAATTTGCATAACCTTTTAAATGTGACTAATATTTTTGTTCAGAATATGATGTGTTAAATGAATTTCTTCCAAATAGCATAATAATGTTAATGTTAATAAATTTTATTCCCTAGCGTTTCTACATTTTGCATTTTATGTTGATTAGTACTTGTTGTTAGTATTATTACCTTATTTTTATTAGTTATTGTTTGTACGGTTAACTGTGTATATTTTCAGAGATATGGATCCCATTTTGAGTAAAGGCCTCCTCCATCTGATTCCACATTTCTCTATTTTTACTTTTGCTCATCCAATCTTTTCCTGCATACTGTATTATGTCATCGGCCCACCGTTTATGTGCACATTTCTTCCAAATAGCATCATATTGTTAATGGTTTAATAAATATTCCAGGCGAATCTACTTTTGCTGAGAAATTGTAGGTACTAGTTGTCTGTGAGTTGTCACGTAGATCGTTACTACTGCGCGGATATCCGCGCCGTTAGTGTAACAATCTACGTTTTGAAAACTCATATGAGTTTACAAAAAAACGGCTGCGGAACTGACCATGCGACGTTCTGTTACACCAAGTAGAGCGTCGCTGCACGCAATAAGAATTAACATTGCTAACGCGGCACGTCCGCGAATATACATCGAGTAGAGTGTCGTTTCAACGGTTATTCAATAACTACTTGTATTCATATAAATACGTATTTCACTTACACTGAAAAGGTAATAAAGGTATTGCGTTCATATTCAAGACCCTGACATTTGACTATTTTGAATGTACATAAAGAAAAAGGGCATGAGAAAATATGTTGGCGTCGTATAAGAATCTATCACTCCATTTCGTCTATGGATGTCGTAAGAGGTGACAGTGTGAAAGACCATTCCATAAATGACGAAATACCATCTCGTGTATGGTAATTTGTGTGTTGCTGTCTTATAAAATATTATAACGAAACTTATAATATAAATAATACTCAAACAAAAAGTTACAAATACCTTTTCGAATGGTAGTTTCTAAGTTGCATAAATAGCCTCATTTTGTTAGAATTAAATACGCTTCAGCGCTAACTTTTTATTGTAATTCCTAGATTTTGACGTTCTTAATGACTAAATGTCTATAACCTGAACATACGATCCACGGCCATTGTCACTGAATCAATAATATTACTACGTACCATAGCATAATTGGCTACAAATATGCGACAAGCTAAAACGCTCGTGTATATAGGAACGTTAAAAGTGACTTGAAACACATTTCGCCGACCTTTGTGCCGGTTGAGGGCTAAGAGCGCCTACGCGTTTAGAAAAAAGGCAGGTAGTCAAAATCTCTGTTTAACAAAAGTCAACAAAAAAACTATTTCGGAGTTGTGCAATACCATAGAATACTATAGTTTCTATGTGCGATACATTTTTGTTGACGCATGCAGTCGGACACAGTTTCTGGTAAATTTTTTTCTTAAACTTTCCCTCGTAGAATAAAACGTTTGCTGAGATATCTCTTTTGGACTTTTCCAATTGTTCGTTTTAGTGCAAAATAAGTTGACGAGTCTGGTAGAGTCCATTTGATGGAACGTTTCAAAACATTCCAGTTTTAGGCGAAAAATACTATAAAGTACATTAGTTAAAGATAACCGTAGCTTCCTGTAATTTTTACAGCATGTTTTTATGTAATAAAAAATCTCTCCATATTTCTTAAAATTATCTTAAACATTAAAAAAAATATACCTAATACAAGTGATTAACAACTCTCTGACGTTTAAATCTTTAATTGGTTTTAAAAACTGCTTTTATAAGTGGTAGAGCCATGTCGCAGTTCTAATAGACGTAGCACGAATGCATCGGCTCGACCGGGGAGAGATCACGCTCTCACAGAATACCAGCGCAAAATAGCAGCTTAATGCTGCTGTGTTTCCTATGGCGAGTGAAGAGAACCGGAGACCCTTTTTTAATGGAAACGAGTCAAGAATATGTTTTTACAAGGTAGAGCCACGCTGCAGCTATATTATGGTTGTAGCACGAATGGGTCGGCTCGACCGGGTAGGACCACACTATCAGAATACCAACGTAAAATAGCAGCTTAACGCTACAATGTTTTGTATGGTGAGTGTAGAGAACCGGAGACATTCCATCTTAGTCCTGAAATCCTGTCCAGTCATTCCAGTCCTGAATTTTTTGTGGTCATTTAAGTGGGTCCCTGGTTTAAAAACTCAATTAGAACTGGTAGGTGGTGGTGTTGTCGAGATCCAGAAATCATTCGTGCAAAGCCGGGGCTGATTTCTAGTATAATAAAAAAGAATCATCAAAAGTAGTACACTTTTAGTGCAGTAGTAGAATTTTAATCTACCTCCTTATTTTGCAGCCGGCTACAAACTATAATGTGTGTCATGGATCATTCTAGGTTCGGTAAATGCCTTAAGACTGCTAAGAGGCAGTCTCATGGGAATACTTATGTTTAGCGGTGGACTTGATGGTCGTAATGATCGACAATAATTTATTCCTTAATTTTTATTTCATAAATCGCCGTGTGCAAATTGTTCCTATAGTAAGTACGTTTCGCATTCCATTTTTAACAATAACGATTCTCACGACTTTATTATATGTTGTTCGCAGTCAAGGATTCCGTGGTAAAATAAGAAGAAACGCTTCTGCAAAATTTGAGTGGGAGACCACAGTTGCGGTGGACAAGAAAAATGCAGCCGTATTACTTAGGTAAGAAAATATAATAATATAAATAATTTAAAGCATCATGAGCTAAAATTATTACAATTTCATAGGCATGCCATCGTATTGCAGTGATAACGCATTTGTGACTTTCATTGTTGCCATGTTGTGGCTGCAGTACAACGGCTGCCTCGTTGGTCAAGTGGTTGTAGTAGTGCGACTGCTGATCATGAGGTCCTGTGTTCAAATCCCGGGTCGGGCCAAAAAAATTAATTATTGAGTTTTTCCGTCAAGAAATTCTCAGTAGTTGCCCCGAGTCGGGAAGTTATCGGTGTCTCACCCCCGTGCCTCGGAAAGCACGTAAAGCCGTTGGTCCTGCGCCTGATCTCTCTCCGGTCGTGTCGGTTTACCGTCCCATCGGATTATGAGAGTGAGGGAATAGAGAGTGCACCTGTGCTTGCGCATACACTTGGGCACTATAATCCTGTCCTGCGCCGATGGCTAGCCTCCGTTGAGGCAGGCCGCCGTGGCCGAAATTCGGTCTGGAGGACATTATAGTTGTAGCACGAATGGGTCGGCTCGACGGGGCAAGGACCACGCTCTCACGGAATACCAGCGTGAAATAGCAGCTGAACGCTGCTGTGTTTCGTATGGTGCGTGTAGAGAAGTGGAGACCCATTTTACTGGAATTGAGGCATTCCATCTTAGTCCTCACGGGTGACAATGCATCAGCATTTTGATTCGTGATCGAGGAAAGATGCATAAGTCTATGGGCCACAGCATCCACTTACCATCAGGTGGACTGTGTGCTCGTTTTTCACCCTTGTACAATAAAAAAAGTAAGTAAACAATGTTCTTTATTAGTGATCGATGTAAACAATATTATCTGTTTTATATTGCTGCTTGTACTTTGATATATAAACTAACTTAGCTTACGCACTTGCTACAGATAAGATTGTAACAAAAACAACGTAATTATTTACGAATAAAATGTTAAAACATTAGTAAACATACATTAAATTTCTTTTAAAATATTGGTGATAACTTAAACAGCTAGTCGTATTGACGCCGAGTGTATGAATGGACTTATCGTCTATTGATAAATTAAAATAATAAACGCGTATCAGATATTTTTTACGTATTTAACACTATCGGGTTGTATTATCGGGTTCGACTCGAGGTCGATTTGAAGGAGAAGGTGTGTTATTGTATATATATATATATATTTTTTTTTTTTATATATATATATATATATATATATATATATATTGCAATCGATCTGGAGAAAAAATGATTTGATTTATAAGTGATAACCTTTCATTTAATAATACTAAAAGACGCGCAAAATGAACTCCTGATTATTATTAAATCTCCCCGAAAATACCACAAAATATATATTTTTAAAGTTCATTGCTATCTTCTATATCTCAAAATATGACAATTTAAATATTTCCTACGTTGGATCGACAGTATTCAGGAGTTATTGCCGAGGCAGAAACATACGTAAGAGCTAAAACATATATATTACTATGCTTTTAACTATATTATGTCTACATTAGAGTATATTAAACCCAATTAATATTGTTGGTGATTCAGTATTACTGTAACTGTGCACACAGCAAAATAGAAACGTAATCGGCGTCTATACTAAGGTATGTTTAAACAAATGGCGCTACGTAGGTCATTTCAACAGTTCTCTATCTCTGGTCAGAAAACCGATAAGGTAATGACGTCTCACTAGAACGTTATTTGGTATCACTCAATGTCATGACACACGGCTTATCTTCATTATGACATACCCTCTGTCTGTTATATAGCTGTACAAGTCGTTAACAATTTTTGATATTATTTCGTTGTTATAATTTCTTTTGACACTTTATAAATAGGTAGTTAGTGCGTATCACTTTATTGTACAAAGAATAACTAAGTTCAATATTTTCTTTTAAATTCTAGATAATAAATATTAAATGATATTATATCCTCATCTTAACAACATGTGTTATGCTTAAAATATTTTATTCCTCATGCAGGTGTCCTCACGGTCTACTTTTCACTACTAAGCACGTAGTAAGTAAATCAGCACTTAAAGTTGCAATCAAGAATTTCGGGATCGAACTTAGGTTGCTCAAATACTGTACATATTTATGGCGAATGCGTAGCCTCTTTAAACATATTACACGTACGTAGACAAATCATAAGCAAGGATAAATACCACTCATAACCAAGAGCTTTTGTATCTTCTATAAAGTCTAACCTCTAACCTCGCATACTGTCATTAACACTAACTCTACTGGTACTGGTCACATAAAAAAATATTTCAATGTCAATTTGATGCTGGTGGCGCATTTATTTTCTGTATTCTGAATTCAAATTAAAAAGAGTGATGATTGTTAATATTGAATTAATTATATAAATACGATAAAAAATCCAGTGTCTATATTGTTTTTAAACGAATTTTCTGTAAAATATTGTAATTAAACATTATTAAAACAAAGTGAAAGCTTTAAACGGTTTAAAAGTACCTAAAATTTTAATGGCGCTGTCATTAAAATGTACGCAAAAAAATCATTTTATTAGTCTATAATAATTCAGTTTGCCTGGCTGTGAAACCGTGTGATTAAAAAATCTGACGGAATTGCAGGATAAGAACACGCGCACTCTAGCGTGGTAGACCTACTCTGGTATAATCTGGCCATTGGTCTATTGGAAGGTTATTTCTGTAGCGAAATTTGCATCATATTGCACGGACTAGTCAAATCTTTTGCTCTGTGCATGAAAGCATGAAATTAACGAATCAGGAATGAAACCTAGCAACATCGATTTTTCGCCGCTTCGGTAAAGCTCTTTGAAAGCGTTATAGCCGTTTTCGTCAACGCGATTGCAAATAAATTATGTATAAATAACTAGTTAATAAATATAGAAAAATATCGATAGATTGTGTTGATGTGTATGTATATATTGTTTTTGTTACAGTTATTACCATCACAATACTATAAATTGTCTAGTATAAATTTATTTGAAGTGTCTCGCTCGACATGACAGCACTATTTTTAAATCGATAGTTGGGCCCTTTTCACGAGATGCTAGCAATTATAAGTATGTAGTCAGACCGCGATTATTATAGTTATTATTAGGTAGTTTTATGTACTAGTATTTATAGTATTTTAGTAAAGTATTTTTTAGAATTTCCTTTTCTTGTTCATTATTTCGTTCGTACCTTCGTTCTTGTTGTTGGTTTTCACCAAACATTTAGGCGTACTTGAATAATATCAAACATGTTATATTTTTATTGGAAAGTATGACTAGATAGTTATCGGTTATTTTATAGATAAGGACATTTAAATATAATTTAACTTTATCAAAGACGTTTCAAATTTAGCAAGAAAATATGTGGGCGGTAAAACCTACAAATGTGTTGAGTATTATATGTAAGCCATCGTGTCAACTAAGGAGAAAGCACTTGGGAGTGGTCGCTGTGTGCACAATCAACGCCATCTATTGAACGCGCTGCGTAGTATTCCCCTCTTAATCTGATGCATTATGAGCTTATAGCAGACGCGGCTTGAATGGCGATGTCGGTTGTAAAAGTTGGCGAAAAAAAAACGCGTGCCGTTGAACTCGCTACGGCAAATGCACCGGGCCGTTAGCTTTATCCGAGGTCAGGGAGGCATCGATGAATTGTGGTGCCGTAAGCTCGAATAAAAATATCATAAAAGGCTCAGCTGTTTGCCCCATGGTTAACTAGCAGCTTTGTCTTTCTTTTGTTTTAAAGCCCGTTTTGTATTTAATTTTTATTTCCTAGCTGCTTTTGAATTTGTAATCATGTTTAATCACGCCTAGGCTATAGGGGTCGTATTTTAATCTCAAGTGGCTTATTGTTAAGTTAAAAAAAAAGATAAAAATCTCAGCTATTCCTTTTTATTATTTAAATGTACCAAACAATAAGGTTATTTATTTCGGATATTAAAACATCTTCGTAATGCACCGAAGTTCTAGGTGCATTTTATAATACAATATAGCGTTTTTAGTTTTACAGTATAGTCTAGTGTTAGAAACCCAGCCCGAACTAACATCTGTACATAATATTATTTAAGCGCAAATTGTAAGTTTAAGTAAAATGGATAGTTTAGGGTAGGAGTAGAGTACGAGTGAGTACCTTTGTGTTTACACTTATGATACTAGATATCCCTTGGCCAGTTGTGAGCTTACGATTAATCACTAGCTGTTGCCGTGGTCAAAAATCGTCTATGGGGCATCATCATAACAAGTTTTACTACCGATTCAACCCCTGTGCAATAAATTTACGCACGCTTAAGTTTTTGATTTTCACGTGAATCAAAGAATTCTAGTTGTCCGTCTCGATGGTTTTTAACGCGAATAGATTTAAGGAGCAAATTAATTTAAGTAATGAGATTGAGGGGATAAGGTTAAGCTAACAGCGCCGTCGAATGGTGAACATGATGGCCACGCATGCGCCATTTGATCGATTTCTAAATACGGAAAGCTTTTCCAGTATTTGTAGGCAAAGTTATTTATTCAATGTTTGACTCTATTAGTATAATTTTATGCTACAATATAAATCGTCTTTTATGTCTTTGCTGTTTCTGTCAGAAACACTGTCAAAACTGCTTTTAAGGTATTGAAATTCAAAATTACATATAGCTAATTATTTTAAAATATTATATTTTGATTTATATAATGTCACCTGTTTCTTTTTACCAATAATTTGATGTGAGTCGTTCGAAATCTCATGGAAAATCAATATTATTATTGTGACTATTACTGTATTTACGTCACGGAAAGAACGTGAACACTGACACTCGGTTTATAATCGTTAGAGTTTCTGCAATGTATCCTTACCTATAACGACTAAGTCAGTCTTTTCAGTCATGCAAAATTCGTAGCAATATTCTTTTGTCGCTGTACACATGGTTGAACAGCACGTAAAAAATGTATGACGTGCAACTTCTGTGATGCACTGCGGTTTGAACTTCTAATGTACTATATAATTTTAAGGCTAGCATTTCCCTAAACTGTAAGGCTTCTACAAGTAAAATGTACATTTATATAGAATAAGGGCGACAAGTGAGCACTCAGCACACCTGGTGGTAAGTGAATCCGTGGCTGTGGTACATATACTTTAAATCGATTATCGATTAGGGATCAAAATGCAGATGTGCTGTCACCCCTGAGGATTAAGATTAAATGCCTCGTTTTCAGCAAAAAGGGTCTCCGGTTCTCACTCACCATATGAACCAGCACCAGCAGCAACTTCAAGCTGCTATTTTACGGTGGTATTATGGGGCGTATATATGTAAGGGCGTGGTCCTTCCCTGGTCGCGTCGACACATTTGTACTACAACCATAATCTCGTAGCTGCAGAATACCTTTACCACGTTTTTTTTCTTATTTAACTTTTTAATTTAAATTTTAAACAAATGTATTATAAATATTTAAAGAAGATCTTTGTCCGACAGGTGTACGAAACACTCCAAGATCAAATTGGTCCGTGCCGCTGTAACTTAGGTAAGTTTTATAACTCACTTATTTCGCTTTTGTTTATGTAGATAATAGTAGCCTTTTATATTGTGCGATAGCTCAATGCGAATTACCCACTTTATATAATAATATGTTATATTGATTGACATTGCGATGATTTTATGTATGTTGCTGTGCGTTATTGTTATTTTTATTTTATGTATATTTGGTGTGAATTGAATTCGGATCAAGGAACATTTTCTCCATTGTTACAGGTATGCCAATATAATATTGCTACGTGGAGTTACAATGTTGTTTGAAGAAACTGAAACTTAGAAGACTACAGAGAACAATTAACAGTTAGTTTACAGGTAAACATTACTTTTTCTTTGTTTTATTATTTTTAATTTATTTATTTAGTAAAATTTTACATTGATAATAAAATAAAATTGCCTTGCTGCATTGTCTTCTAAGCGAATTTTTTTTCTTGCTCATGCGACGTGACTTTTCAAACTTGTATGATTTATATTTATTTTTTCATTATTACAATTTAAATATTTTTATAAACTAGGAGAGTGGTGTTACTTTATTTTATATCTACATTTTATGAACCTTACTAATTATGAACAAAATGTAATAAAAAATTACGATTAAGCACAATGTTTTAGTGCTGGGTAATAATGATAAAAATTACCCACCACTCAAAAATTCTCACAAACTCAAAAACTAATAATAATTTACGATTGATCAGATCAATGTTTGTCGCGAAATTATAATCCAAAATATTATGAATAATCTATCATGGCGCGTTAATTTTATACGATTATAAATAATTTGAATGTATTTTGTCATCAACTTCCGCAGCCTGCGCAATCGAGAAATCAACGTTCGGGCGAGGCGCTCTTCTTTCCTAAGACAAGTTCCCAGGTTGGTCAATTTCGAACATTTTGTTTAAACTCTTCTTGTAAATTGCACTCTCATTGGCACGTTTTATAACAAACTTAATTACATTTTGATTGCGGCTTTAATAAGCATATAAATTTATATATTACACCATAATTTAAATCAGCCGGCGTTTAAGCTCAAGCGATTGTGTCAATTATAAGATTGACAATTTGTAACATAATTTATATAAGTAATTTAAATTTACACAGTGGCATATTAAAATTATTTAATCACAAGCAACAATGCTAAAACATACGAGTACTATGAAACATTGTTGTACACTGCCGTAAGCCAGGAACATTCGAAACGTAATTAAGTCATTATCGTTTAATATACGCGCTTTTCCATAAATTTTAATTGATAATATTTATTTACTTTTAGATAAGAAAACCATAAGTTTACGACTTAAACCGTAAGAACCGTTTATTTTTTATTTAACAATTTCAAATAAAAATAAGATCGTATTTGCGTTTTAAAAATTTATGTTATTAACAATTTGGCTCAACAAGACTGTCGGGAGACAGTGTTTAGTGATATTCCTTAAGACAGATCAGAATGATAATGTTGTGTTAAAATAAATTATCAAATAAAGAAAGTTACTGCTAAAATTTAACAAAATTCTAAATCTAATTCAATTTTTCGGCGATACGAAATATGTGGGGGGTAAAATACGTAGTAAAAGCGACCAGTGACTTAGGGCGTGGCGGGACGCCGATTGAAATGGCGGCAGAAACGGATATTGACGCCATCTACGCCTCGGTTCTAACGAAGCTTTCAATAATATGTCCATTTTGGTGACTCAATCATAAAGTTTTTATGTCTTACGATTAGTTTATATGATTGATTTTTTTGTATAATTTTACAATCTGTATCCACCCTTAACATTTTTTTTAGATTTTGTGTTGTTTTTTTTGTAACGACAACATTGAAGTAATATGTACTTACGTACTAGAACAACTATCTCTAACAAAAAATGTGCGCTACTCTGTGTTCGGGCGGTTGGTTTTTTATCATAGAATAAACATAGGTAGAATGATCCGTAGGTAATAGTAGATTATATTTTTAAATAGGTAAATTATATCGAGAACAATATTTAAATTTAGTCATTTATTTTGTATATTATATTTGCTTATTTAATATAATATTACATAATATTATATCACAATTACATTTTAATAATATTTTTATCTGAATATTTTAAAAGGTATCTATGTCAAATATAAAAAAAACATACTAAATGTATGTTTAACAAAACTTATTAAAATAATATTTAAATTACAAATATATTTATTTAAATTAGAATAAGAGTCGTTCATAAATGTTACACGCGAGAGGTAAAAATGGACGAATTTATTCCACTATGACTGATGTGGAAACATAAAAATAAAATAAAGGAATAATAAGCAGATTTAAACATGAAAAATTTAGCCTAATTATAATAATTTATACAGAATCGGTCCTACATATATGCAATAAATGAAACCACAAGTAATACTAGTCCGTGGAAGTGTAGAAAAATTAAATATTAAATTAAAACCCGTAAAATAAAAAAGTGAAATTTTCAAACAAAATAAATATTAAAATAAATTCAGTAAAAGTGAACACTCTGTTTAGACAACGTACCTTGACCCCTTGGAAGAGTGACAACGTTGCACGCGGGTGGCACGCCGACAAAAGACACCGCTGTGATATGTCGCAATACCAATTCTATAGACTGTTCAAATTTGCTTAAAATTAAAACTCTACTTTTTGACCTAATTACTGAACCGATTACGTTAATTTTTTGTATATCGTCAGCAAAGGCAATAACAAGTATATGGTTTCATTTATTGCATATATGTGGGACCCATTCTGTATATGTTTCTACAAAAAGAAAATGTGTATAATAATATATTCGTCCTATACTTAAGTACCCACAGAAATGTCGCATCTGAACATATTAATTTCATTATCTATATTCCATGACACGAGATGGCGTCTTAGGAACAATTTGTTTAATTATTAATCTATAATACTTTTTTATTGATTAAGTATCTTATTAACCGATGAAAAGTAATTCCTTGATTTTTACTGACATTTCTTGAATTATTTGTGCAATATCTAAGTACACACGACTGCATATTTTTATCAAGAGATTTTTTAAATCAACACAACACGTGACGACTCTACAAGCGCCTAGCGAGTGACTGATTAAAGTGCGGTGTATGCACCGCAGTTGAGTGGAACAGAGTAGCTGAATGCAGTGTCGCCTCTAGTACGTAGTACATAATAGCTCAATGTATATTAAATATCTCAATAGTATATTAAATAAGCAAATATAATACACAAAATAAATGACAAAATTTAAATATTGTTCTCGATATAATTTACCTATTTAACAATACAATCTAATATTACTTACGGGTCATTCTACCTGTGTTTATTCTATGATAAAAAAACAACCGCGCGAACATAGTGTAGCGCACATCGCTAGTAATTTGAGATAGCTGTTCTAGTACGTAAGCACATATTACTTCAATGTACACACATTTTTGGGATATGAGAATATAAATAATTACAAAAATATATTATGTCGCAAGATTTTGATAAAATCAGGATTTTAAACAAAATTATAGGAAGATCCTTCAAATTTTATCAAAATCCTTCGACATTTGATTTGTTACAAAAAATATTACTTATATAAGAATAATTAATAATAAAGTTTACTTTGTAGTATTAAAATCATCTATCACATAATATTCTAATATTAAAAATATAATGCCATGACCCATGACAAAGAAACGTTAATTATTGTGTGGTATTTTTTAAGTTCAACTTATGAAATCGTATCTTCATTTTGCAAAGAAAACAAGAAAAAATTAGCATTACGATCTCTTTTATGCACATAACACAAATAAAATAAATAAAATAAATAAAATATAGGTACTTATGAAGCGTGTGCGGTTCGCTTGCACGTTCGCACGACAAATATACACTTAATTATAAATATATTTTACGTAAAAAAAAAGGCTTCAAATAATTTTCCAATTCTACTTTCCGAGAATGAAATTGTATTTCTCGTCGATATGCATCGATATTAACGTAAAATGTATAGTATTACACTTCTGAATTAAGACAAATATATACATTACCTTTAAAAGTCCGTCAAGCCGTTTAGGCTACAGGAGAAAAGAAAACCAACGTACATATATGTATGCATATATTGTACACAAGAATGTCACGGTTTTTATGAATTGCCACACAATCTACAACCTGTAATTATACTACCTAACCTTCAAACTGGTACAAATCAGAGCACTGTTTGACACAGAAATAAATCCTTGTTTCTTCTGGCTTTACGAATTCTGGTTTTCAAGGCGAGACTATTGGCAACTTATATGACAGCTCATTTCTCGCCGCCTTGTATGTTTTTTCTAGCTTATTAAAATAAGTTCAGATGAAAGCTAATGTTGTTTAGACAAAATTGAACTCCCTCGAAACTAGGTCCATACTTGCTGGCAGGCTGGGACGGGACGTATCGTGTCGTGTTTTACGCTCGTGAACAACTCTAACGGTACGTGTACCCAAATCCGATTTTGTCGGCCGATGGCGGACAGAACTACCCGGCCGAGTAACTCGGACGTGTATGTGCTTACACTGCAACAGTGTACCACTTGTGCCAACATTGGACGTAGCCGGTATTCTTTTCTATTTTTCTATTTTCAACATCCATAGTCGTTTAAGTAGATAAGAACACTGACAGACACAACAAAATAAAGACAAAATGATTAAATTAAACTATATGGTGGGTTTCTTTTGTTTGCTTCTACGGCTCTATAAGTATACTCAATTTGCACTGTAGATGCCGGCAGTCGGAGAGATCACATTCATTCGACGGTTGATCGGCCGTTTTCGTGCGTTATCGGACGATGACGGTCGTGTTTGTGTACGCGCTCTCTTTGTTTTACAAGACTGTTTGATTCGATCGTCCGAGTTCGGCCGTCATCGCCCGAGTAAACTTCGGCCGATGACGGATTAGATGTATGCGCAGCGTAAGAGTTTTTGAGTATCAGTTTCTTGGTTTTATCAATTTTTACATAGCTGGGTAGAACGAGGCGAATTAAACCACTTGTCTTAAGTCTGTATGCTTTATGCCATCCGTATGACTACACACATATCACAAAAACGCCTTCAAAGTTTTATGCCTATATCAAAGAAGATTTCTCTTCTCCAAACACTTATTTTCCCCATTCTTGATTTTGCTGACGTCTGTTGGTTGGATGCGACTGAGGAGCAATTAAACAAACTTGAGTGCTTGCAAAACTTCTACTCAAGTTTGTTATAGTTTTTGGCTTAAAAAGTATAACCACGTCTCCTATCGCAAACAGCTCAAATGGCTCCCAATCTGACTTCGCAGGAATACCCGAATCCTATGCCCTCCCTCCTCTTTAACATACTATACAATCCAACATCACCACCTTATCTACGTGATCGATTCCGAATTGCTCATTCTCCCGATGCAGTTTGCAGATCACATTTAGTAACCCTCCTAAATTTCCCTTTCTCCAGAACTAAGTTCTATTTCACTCTTTAAAAGTAGGGAGAAGAGTAACGCAACTTTCTTTGTCGCCCCAAAGATCTAATGTATGACTTGTATATACAATATGTAACGTAATTAACGCACACCCTCAGACACAACCAATTAGTATATTATGTTATAATCATAATACACACACTGAATTTTTTGTTAAACATTTTTATGCACTGATTTCGAATTATTCCGATTCCGGAAGAATGTTGTGGTCACAGTACAAATCCACGAACGCAAAGACTTTAACGTGCTTGAAATAAAGTTCATTTTTCTTTATTTTTATTGAATGACAGAATTGGTAATAATACAAATAAAACTGGACTCTTAAAAGTCTTATTGCCTTAAGTTACGGTCCATTTCAGTTTGTTTTGACTGTACAGATTTAGCGTGACTGTAATTTACGTAATTATTT